TTTTGCGTTTCAAACCCGGGCCCCCAGGCGCCCCGAGGCCGGCATGGCCCTGGGGCAGGTGCCGCCGCTGCCTCCGCTCCGGGGCCGAAGGGCACGATCGCCCACGAATACATGGCATTCGGCGATTTTTTTTTTCTTGCCCAGAATCTTAGAAAATGAAACATAATGGTTGACATCCTGCGGGTGCAGGTTCCAGCGACCAGTGCCCGGCAGTGACTGCAACTGGGTTTGGGCTTTGGGGGTTCGCGGGTGACCCCCGCCCCCCACATCCTCTGTGCTGGCGCCTGGCGGCTCTGGGCCGCGCTGAGCGCTGCGCTGGGAAATAAAAACCCTTCCATTTAGGGGCGGAGTCTTTGTCCAGCGCGTTTTCAAACGTTTGTGGTTTTTTGGATGGAGCGCATGTTACTTTCCTGGAAATATTAAAACTGCAGAACGGAACCGCACCAGGCGGGCCGTTCAGAGGGAAAGGACAGGCTTTTACTTCCAAGACCCCCGTTTTCAATCCAGACCTCGGGGAAAGGGAGGGAAGTGGGGAGAATGTTAACGGATTTCGATTCCACCTCCCTGACGGCACAGAGTTGGTGACGGGCGCCTGTCCGGAACCATCGGTACCTTTTACATCGGAGCGTCTTGTGCCCTGCACCTGTGGCAGGTGACTTTGTCAGAACCGTGGGCCGCCCTGTGCCCAGCGCCTGCCAGGGTTTGTGGCAGGTGCCTTAACACAAAGCTGTTTGAGTGGCTGACATGTACAGGCGGGGCCTCTGTTGGGCAGTTGGTTTGGGTGAGTTCCCAGGGTGGACTTGCCAGGCGGTGGGTAAAGTCCGAAGGCGGTTGGTGCCCTGAGGACATCCTGTGGGCTCTTTGTTTAACTGGATTTATGGGGGTGACATTGGTGAGTAAAGGTAAGTAGGTCTTGGGGATACGATTCTGTAACATCATTTGAGTTGAGGACTTGAGTCGTTGGTTCCAGAACAGGGAGCCTTGGCCTCGGGCCACTGGCCTTCGCACGGGGGGAGGGGTTTGGGAAATTCGCTGGGAAAAGGTTGGCTGGCTCCGGCGGAACTTCCTTTAGGCGGTGAGCGTGCCAGGGTGGGACCTCAGCAGGAGGCGCTGTCTCCGGTTCGGGTTCGAGGCCAGGCCCTTCCAGCGGTCGAGAGCCCCTCCCTGCAGGCTCAGTGGAGGCTGGCCCCCGAGGCCACCTCATTCGGTGCAGCACCTGAGCATCATGAAGACAGTGTCGCCTTCCAGTCCTCCATGGGCACCGTCTGAGGGGGGGTCCAGGGGGAAAAGGGGAGCCCGCCCCGGCCCAGCTCCGTGCTGGGCGGACAGGCCTGCGTTCAGTCCTGGTTGTTTGTGCTGTCACCCGAGAGGGAGGGAACTCGGACCTTTGTCCCGCGGGACCAGGGTGGGGTGGCCAGGATTCCAGGCAGGCTCAGGTGAGTCCGGCTGGTTTTTAAAAAATATATTTCGCCGAAACTGGTTTGGCTCAGTGGATAGAGCGTCGGCCTGCGGACTGAAGGGTCCATGAGAGGGAATCATTGATCGGCTGCCTCTTGTACACACACCCCCTACTGGAGATCGAGCCCGCAACCCGAGCATGTGCCCTTGACCGGGAATCGAACCCGGGACCCTTCAGTCCGCAGGCCGACGCTCTGTCCACTGAGCCACACCGGCCAGGGCGGCTGTTGGATCTTAAAGTCCCTTTTCCTTGTCAGATCAGGTTGCTTCCGTCTTGCAGGGCAGGAACCGTTTCTCCCTGAAAGAAACGTGAGTCACGTGGGCTGAGAGAGAGCTGGCGGTGGGAGCACATGAGCAGGAGCCGGGAGGCAGCCGTGACCGCGGCCAGGACCTGGGTGAGTAGGGCCCTGACCCCGGCCTTCCGGCTTCCCCTGCGATGCCCAGCACAGCCTCCGCGGGTCTTCGCTGCATCCCAGAGGCCCCGTTTCATTCTGCTAATTACCGATGATAACCACTGATTTCATTGGTCACCCATCATCCATGCTGTGTGTGTGTGTGTGTGTGTGTGTTCCTGTGTGCTGCTTAGTTATTCTTACTGCTGGCCCGTGTTGCGTTGTGTGAAAGCCCCCACGTGTCCACGCTCGCTCTCCCCCTGGCAGGCAGCTGGTTCCCAGGTGTGGAGCCCGTGTCTGCGGGGCCAGCTGCAGGTCTGTCCGTGGGGTTCTCTCTGGAACTGCTGGTTTGTAAGGGTCTGCAAATGTTTACCTTATGTCAACCTCGAATATATGATTTTTTAAAAATTTATTGGTTAGAGAAAGAGGAGGGGGAGAGAGAAACATTGATCTGTTGTTCCATTTATTAATTCATTGGTTGCTTCTTGTATGTGCCCTGACCAGGGATTGAACCTGCAACCATGGCTTAAAGGTTTGATGCTCTAACCAACTGAGCTACCTGGCCAGGACTACATACCCTTTCTTTTCTTTTCTTTTCAAATATGTTTTTATTGATTTCAGAGAGAAAGGGAGAGGGAGAGAGAGATACATCAATGATGAAAGAGAATCATCTATTGGCTGCCTCCTGCACGCCAGGGGATCAAGCTGAGAACCTGGACATGTGCCCTGACCAGGAATTGAACCCTGACCTCTTGGTTCCTGGGTTGATGCTCAACTACTGAGCCACCCAGCCCGGACACACGCCCTTTCTTGTGCTTATTGGCCACTTAGGAATCCTCTCCCGTGACCCTGCTTCTGCGTGTTTCGTATGGAGGTGTCGGAGTTGTTTCTACGTTCTGTGTGTGAATCCTTCTCCCAGGCTGGCACCTGTGATTCTGTGATGTTTTCTGATGAAACAGAAGGTCTTAACGTAGCCGGTGGCCGTTCCTTCCTGCCTTTCTGTATGGGCGGTGCCTCTGGGGTTTGGACTAAGGTGACCCTGCCCTGGGACCAGAAAGACGTTCCCGCGCCTTCTCCCTGGTCACCATGTCACACGTTGGCATCTCACACAGGA